GGTGGTCATCCGTGAACTTTTGGCCAGCCTCGTTGAGCAGCTGCAGCAGGTAGTTGGTGAGGTCGCTCCCGGCATAGTCGGCACGGGCCGTCAGGCCTGGCAGCACATTGCCCTCGGAGATGGGCACCACGTGCGAGACACCATGCCCGCTCTCTACCACCAGCCCTGAGGTCTTGCCATAGGAGTAGATGGACAGCAGAGACTGGGTTGTCACATGCATGGCAGGGATGCCAAAGGTCTCAAACATGAGCTCCGCATACTTCTCCCGGTTGCTGCTGGGGCTGAGCGGGGGATCGGAGACCAGCACAGCATGCTCCTCGGGGAGGATCTTCATGGCTGTGTGGAAAATGTACTCCCAGATGTTCTGGACGCAGTCCCAGTCCACCACGACGCCATATTTTAGCGGGTTAACCAGCTTCAGAGGGGCCTCCGTGTTGAGCAGCTCATGGCCCACGTAGGTCTCCTTGCGGGTGTCGCCTGCATCGGCCACCTCGGAGTAGCGCTTGCCCACCGTGGAGGAGATGAAGTAGGTGGGCCTCGGCTCCCCCGCATAGCCACACTTACAGTACTGCGAGCCCAGGTCGATGATGAGGGCCTTGATCCTACGCACCTTCTTGGGCTTCGTCTTCAGCTGAGCGGCTGAATCTGTGTCCCGGATGCCAGCATCAGGAGCTGGCAGTGTCCCCGCCTCTCCAGGGTCACCCTGAGCCGTGCCCACAGGCATGGGGCTCGGGCTATTCTTCATTGCCATCTGCCTTCCTTGCTCACCTTTCTCACATCCCCATCCTAGAGCTCCGATGGGAGAAATGAGGGTCCACCTCCTGCAGTGTCTTGACAACCCCTGAGGATTGTGATGTCACTGGGGACTGGTCCATTCCAGCAACCCAGGGAGGGCCTGGCTTTGGTGGGGCCTTGATCCATCACCCGTGCCCCCATCCACCGAACTCAGCTTCGCTCCACAACAGAGCAGGTGGCCAGCAGAGTTTTAGAAACCCAAGCACACAGGAGTCTCGGAGGTTTCTCCTCCTGTCCCCCTTACATCCCCGCTCCTAATGCCCAGTTCACTGACTGAACACCTTTTCCTCCGCTGCTTCTTGGCTGTGAGGGTGACAAATATTTCAGCCCTTACAGTAAGCCAGGCATGTTACTTAACAGAATCCCATGAGTATGGCAGAGCTGAGGAAATCAAGGTTCAGAATTCCAATATTTGCCCACAAGCAGACAGCTCTTGGACTGTTTGTATTTTAACCCAAGTTCATCCAACTTCAATGCACCAGGTCTCCTTAAAGAGTGTGAGGGCCCCAACAGTACTCTCATCCCATCATTCAACATTTACTGGGGTTCGTGGTGGGTCCGGCCCAGTGCAGCCTGCCTGGTGATAGATGATAGGGACCTGGTCACAACCAGTGCCCACTGTTAGGTGGGAAGAAGATGGAATGGACGCAGAGGAGTTTGCAGGTGGAAGTCTATTGGGAGTACAGAGGTGCACAAAGGAGGGGGCACTCAGTGGAGGGAGGGAGTCCGAAGGTTCCCTATAACGTGATGCTCAGTCAAGTATTGAAAGACATGTACCTGTCAGTAGTTAAGAGGGAAAGACACCCCCAGCCAAGAGCACAGCCTGAGCGAAGGCTCAGATTGGGGCATGGTGGGGAACTGCCAGTAGTTAAGACATCAATAAAATTTTCCTAGAAGCCAAATCCGACCACTCCTTTTCTTAAAGCCTTCATAAATCAATGAATAAATCACCAAAGTCCGTAACCTGGTGTTTTTTGTTTGCTTTGGTGGGACGGGGGGTTGAGGGGGGCAGCAGTTTGGAATGGAAGTTCTTATGGAAATCTGATGAATTTGTCTGTTCATTTGACAAGCCATCAATGAAGGCTTTAAGAAAAGGAGTGGTCGGATTTGGCTTCTAGGAAAATTTTAGAAAGATATGTTTAGTTGTAATATAAAGGGGTGATACACTGAGACCTCAAAGAAAAATTGAAGACATTCTTATAAGACTTGAAGGTGGCTTAAACTTGAGCTGTGGAAGAGGGAGACAGGTTCTAGAGCAGTTGAGAAGGCAGAATCTAATCTAACTGGTTGGTTCCCCAACTATCCTCAATTCAATCCAAGCTCTTACTCTAGAATTTGAGGTCTTCCTTCAGCTCCAGTGCCATCTCTAGCCTCAAGCATCACATTTACATTAGATATTAGATTATATGTGGATAGTGAGGCAGAGAGAAGGATGAATCTCTTACCTCTGCCCAAGAAAAGAAAGATGGCCTGTCATCCAGAACAGACAAATTCATCAGATTTCCATAAGACCTTCCATTCCAAACTGCTGTCCCTCTCAACCTCCCACCCCACCAAAGCAAACAAAAAACACCAGATTACGGACTTTGATGATAAAGAAAAAGAAGAGGAACAACTGGGGCTAAATTTTCTGGGAGAATTACGAAGTAATCGAGGGATTAGAGGACATAGAAAGCAAAGAGGGATTTTAAGACATAATTAAGAAATACTGCTGCAGAGCTTATAAGAATGTTTATGAACTTGTGGGAATTTTTGTTTGCTGAATTGTTTCTTGGAATATGGCACTATGGAACTGGATTATGTGGTTAACAACTTTATAAGGATTAATTGTGAGCATCGCCAAGCTCTGCTGGTGGTATTACAAATCACAGAAGCTGAGGATTGGACACTTGTTCTCACATGGACAGCTATAAGTCATAAACTTTTCTTCACACTGGGTTGACATCTGTACCTCTCTGAAGAAGCCATTAAATGGTCTTGGGTCTACTTTTGGGGTTGTACAGAGCAAGCTAATTCTCCCATGTGACAACCCTTATGATATTTAAAAGCAATGCTCATGGACCCTTTGGGCCTACTTCTTCTTCCATTCTTTATAAAGAGATAGTACAGAATGGAAAGAAGAGTAAGGCACTGGACTCAGAAGACCTGAGCTCAAATCTAGCTTCATTACTATAATCTGTACGACCTTGGGCAAACTACTCAAAATATTAGCTGAATCCGATTATGATAGTGCTATGCCCCCCTCATCAACTTGATCCCTTACCCTCTGCCTCCAGGTTTCTGTTTTGAATAACTAGGTAGATAATGGGGCCCCTCATAAATAGACAATGCAGGGGCAAGAAGAGTTATGTAGGGGATGACAATGAGTTCCAGTTGATACTTGCTGACTTAGAGATGCCTATAGACCACTAGACTGGTATATGGAGCTCGGGAAGAGAAATGATCTGGATCCACATTTGAGTCAATAGTTTCTCCACCTTCTGAAGAGAGCTCCTTTCCATCTTGAGGAAAATGCGCAGTCTTGATATTTAGGTTACCACACTGGGGGCTGAGGTTTGGAAAGGGGGCTTACTGCATCTGATTGGCAAGGAATCCTTTTCTTTGCTGGGAGCTCCTGACTCATAGGTCCTCAAATGTCAACATATTAAAGAGTTGGATTCCTAGGCCTAAATAGTCCTGGACTATTCAGATTCAGTAAGACTAAGTTGTGATCTAGGAATCTGCATTCATGAAAAGAAATACTTTACTTTGGGCTTCCCTTACTAGATTCTCTTTCTTCCCTTCCATAGTTGCTAAAATTACAATGGCCTGGTTCACCTTTCTTGCAAAGGTCAAGGGTGAGTGGTGTCCCCAAAACCAAAACTGGGAGCAAGGACAGTACCTCAGGGAGAAATGTGTTTCTTGGTCTAATCTTTTCTTTCTCCACTGTAGAGGAGAACTTCAGGGTTGCTTTCAAGGAGGATCATCTCATTTTTAAGTTTTTTTGGTCTTGGGCCAGAGGAGCAAAAGTAGCTGTGACCCCTTGAGAAAATGTGGCCCAAGATAGTGTAAGCAATAGTGTCTCTACCTAGAGGGACCTCAACAGAGACAGAGAGCCCACACGTACCTTAGATGGCTAGTGACAAGTGTAAAGGGTTGCATGTGCCAGGTCGTGGAGGTTTTGGGTGTAGACTGCTAACAGTCTCTACACTCTTCCATCATTAATACCACTTTATGATGACCCAGAGAGGAGAGAAGGGGCGCAAAGGGTGAGATGGAAGCTAAGGATGGACAAGCATGGGTAGTGGGGTAGGAGCGTGTGAAACAGAACATGTCAGGCTTTGAGTGTCGTAGTGAAGTGGGATGCGCAGGGAGAGTGACAGGGTGAATGACGGTCTCCCAAAGATGTTCAATCTTTTTTCTCCCTCTTTAATTCGTGCCCCCACCCCGCACTTCCACCCCTGACCTATGGATGTTGCTGTCTCCCCTTAAGAACTGGATCTCTGAAGGTGGGGCGTCCCCCCCCAACACGCTCACAGTGTGCACCAGTGGCCCGGTGCACCCTGAGCATGGTCTGTGGCTCCATCTGGGGTGCGAACCCAGGACCTTCTGCATGTAAAGACGATGTGCTAACCACTACACTATGGAGCCACCCCCAAAGATGTTCAATCTTAATTCTTGAAACCTATGCATATGATACCTTTCATGGCAAAAGGGACTTTGCAGTTGTGAGTTGGGAGATTAATTTCCCTGAATTATCTGGCCTCAAAGGAATCACAAGGATCTTAATAAGAGGGAACAGGAGGATCAGGTCAGAGAAGCAGATGTGACAACAGAAGCAGAAGTCTGAGAGGTATTTGAAGATGAAGAAAGGGGCCACAAACCAAGGCATGAGAGAGGCCTCTAAGAGCTAGAAAAGGCAAGAAAAGGATTAGCCCCGAGAGCCTCTAGAAGGGACGTGGCCCCAATGACACTTTAATTTTGGCCCACTAAGACGGACTGTGGACTACTGACCTCCACACGTATAAGATAATAAACTTGTGTTCTAAGCCATTAAATCTGTGGTAATTTGTTACAGCAGCAATAGGAAACTAATACAGGATCTTATAGGAATCCAGAGCAGTGAAAATGTACTGAGTAGCTGCAGATTTCTCAGAATTCAAGAGGGGGGTTGAGGAGAAGGAAAATGGATAATTCTAAATTAAATATGCCTTATATGTTATTTGAAATAAAGTCAAACAATCCAAATTGGCTATGCAAACCCCTAAATAGTATAGGCAAGTAAACTACTTTTCAGGCAGGTATGCGTAGAGAAAAGTACTTTTTGAGTCTTTCAAATTCTATGCTACCTCATCCTCTATCGAATGAACCAAGAAACTGACACTTTGTTTCTGAGATAACAGCTCAGTTGCCATCAGAGAGTGATCACAAGGCTCATGAGACTGGACTTGGTTTGGCTCCTCTCACACCTCACAAGGAGCCAAGAGCATCCCCAGTAACCTCTTTAAGGAGAAAGCACACCATTGTAGTGAATGCCTCTTTTACGAAGAGCATAAGGTTGGATTTGGGGCATCTTGACAGGGGCAGGTGTCAGCAACAACATGCCCAGCACCAGATATGCAGGTGGCTGAGCAGCCTCATACGTAGGGTCCCATCATGGTGAGTCCACAGCACACCCCTGGGAAGAAACCATAGTCAGGTGAGGCTAGCCACTGCTGGCTCTACATCCCTGGGTGAGCAATGCACCCAAGATCCTCGGTGTGCTCGTCAGTGGGATGCTGTAGGGTCTAATTTCACTGCCGACACAATGACTCAGATGAAGGAAGAACATGTGTACAAACATGTGCCTAAAAAAATTCCTCTCCAGGTTGTCCGAAGAAACAAGTGAGACAGAAATTCTTCGCAGTGACCACAGCAGTGATTAGTCCCGCTAATATCTAAATCAGATGGTGTCAGCTCTCTGCTCAAAATTCTCTAGTGCTTTCTGACCTCTCGCAGAATCGGAGCCTAAGTCCTAGCAATGGCCCGTGAGGCCCAACATGAGCTGTTCGCTCTCCCTGCCCCTTACGTCTCCCATCTCTTGTACTTTTTCTCGCTCTCTCCACTCCAGCCACACTTGTCTTCTTAGGATCCTCTAACTTAGGGGCTGGCAAACTTCTCCCGTAAGGTGCCAGGTAGTCAATATTTATTTTTGATTTTGTGAGCCATACAGTCTTTGCTGCACTGACTCCACAAACACAGCCATAGATAATACGTAAATGAGTGTGGCTGTGTTCCAATAAAATTTCACTTACAAAAATAGGCTGCAGGCCATAGTTTGCCAATGCCGGCTCTAACCCATCAGTCACATGTCCACCTTCACTGCCCTGCATCTGTTGTTCCAATATACACATGGCACTCTTCCCCTCACCAACTCACGTCTTCATTTAGTGTCACTGTCTCGGGGATCCCTGCCCAGGCACATTAACATGGCCACCCTCCTTAGCCCCCTTCTCTGCTTTGTTTTTTCTCTTTTGCTCTTAATACCTTCTTATATACAAACACACACAAAAACGTAAAACTATCTGTCTCTGTCTGACCCCCACTGACTAGAAGGTAAACGCCAAAAAGGCAGAGTATTTTTTTTACTGCTGCCTCGTATTCTCAGCTGCCTCGCACATAGCAAGCACTCAATAAGTATTGATTAATCAGATTTATTACAAAATGTAGAAGAAGCTAAGTCACCTCAAAAACACTACCCCAAAGTTTTCCAGCATCTGGAAAGCCCCGGGTCATTGGATTATGTCATAATCAGTGATGTCATTGTTGGAGAAATTCTCAAGTTGCCCTCTGATTTAAGCCTTTCAGGCCTTGAAGCCGGTGGGATCAAGGAACTTTCTGAGAGCAAGATGGCTCTTGAAAGCATGTGGGCTCCACAGGCAGCAGTCATAGGGGATGGGCCTGCCAAGAGAGTGGGTGAACAGGCCTCCCTGAACACACAGGTCCTCCAGACTGCCTCCTTGAAGGATGGCCCAGCGAAGCGAGCAGTCTGGGTCCGCCGTAACCATTTGGAGTCAGAAGAACCTACTAAATCAACGGCGGTCAAGAAGCCCAAGGCAGAGGTGACCAAAGCGGTGGTCGTGGATCTTGGCACTGGCTATTGTAAATGTGGCTTTGCTGGGCTGCCAAAGCCCACCCACAAGATCTCATCGACAGTGGGCAAGCCCTACATGGAGACTGCCAAAACTGGGGACAACCGCAAAGAGACATTCGTGGGTCAGGAGCTCATCAATCCAGAGGTTCGTCTCAAGCTAATTAACCCTCTGCGACACGGCATCATCGTGGACTGGGATTCAGTGCAGGATATCTGGGAATATCTCTTCCATCAAGAGATGAAGATCTCCCCAAAGGAGCATGCAGTCTTGGTTTCAGACCCACCCTTGAGCCCACACACCAACAGAGAGAAGTATGCTGAAATGCTGTTTGAGACCTTTAGCACTCCTGCGATGCACATCGCCTATCAGTCCCGCCTGTCCATGTACTCCTACGGAAGGACCTCCGGCCTGGTCGTGGAGGTCGGCCACGGCGTGTCCTACGTAGTCCCCATCTATGAGGGTTATCCTTTGCCCAGCATCACTGGACGACTGGACTATGCGGGCTCTGATCTGACAGCCTACTTGATGACCCTGATGAACAATTCGGGAAAACACTTCACCGAGAACCAGATGGCCATTGTGGAGGACATCAAGAGGAAATGCTGCTTTGTGGCCCTGGATCCCATCGAAGAGAAGAAAGTCCCAGCTACTGAGCATTTAATCCAGTATACTCTGCCAGATGGGCAGGATATACAGCTATGCCAGGAAAGGTTCCTCTGCTCAGAGATGTTCTTCAAGCCTTCTCTGATCAAGTCCATGCAGCTGGGCCTCCACACCCAGACAGTGTCCTGCCTTAACAAGTGTGACATTGCCCTCAAACGAGACCTCATGGGAAACATCCTGCTCTGCGGGGGGAGCACTATGCTCAGTGGTTTCCCTAACCGTCTGCAGAAGGAGTTGAGCAGCATGTGTCCCAATGACACCCCCCAGGTAAATGTTTTGCCTGAAAGAGACACAGCAGTGTGGACAGGTGGCTCCATCCTGGCATCGCTTCAGGGCTTCCAGCCACTGTGGGTCCACCGCTCTGAGTATGAGGAAAAAGGGCCTTTCTTCATCTACAGAAGGTGCTTCTGAAATCTGATGGAGCATGGTCGCTGTGGTTGCCATGTGTCAGCTTTGCTGGGTGAGCACTCATCCCACGTATAGGGAGCTGAGCCAGCAAGTTCACTTCTGCAGTATTAAACGATCCTCCTGTTCCCCTTGACGGCGTGTTTCTCTATTTCCTGACTTAATGAAGGTGACACTTAGAAGGTGGTAATCTAGTGAAGCATACAAGTTTATGGGGTGGCATAGCGGGGGAGCTAATTTTGCTTCCCAAACTTGTAGTCTTAAATTACTAAAAACCATCAGTTTTACGTTTAAAAACACCCTCTTCAATTATGGCTATGAAAACTCTCTCAAATGTGTGCACATGTATACACACACACACAAGTACATGTGTGTACATGTATGGAAAAGGTTTTAAAATATGTGGCAGTGCTAAGAAATGACACTAAGCTATACTCATAAAGATATAATAAAAACATTAACTCCTATCTTATTTAAAAAGTGTAAATTTAAAATGGACTTTGATTGTAGGAGAAAGTCCTCTGCAAATTACCTGCACAAAGCTGATTCAATGGAACCAACAAAATAATTGAGGCTTTTAGCTTACTGCAGCATGAAACTGC